TCCTCCGCATTCGTGCGGAAGAGGAGGTTCTCGGGCTTGAGGTCGCGATGGACGATACCCGAGGAGTGGATATATTTGACCGCCGTGAAGATAGTGCGCACGAGGTCCGCGGCGTCGCTAGGGGGCGGTCAGGGGGCATGGCCGAGACGCCGCGGACTCGACGCACGCCTCGTAGTAGTTGCCTTTGGCGCATATCCGGTCGAAGAGCTCGCCGCCCGTGCACAGGTCGAAGCACAGGTAGAGATTGTGTGAGGTCTGTTTAGTATGTAAGCATATACATCGGGCGGGCATGAATCGCTAGCAGAAAAAAATGCAGCTGCGTCCGGCCTTCTGCTTCAAGGACAGCTGTCGTCCTGCATAGAATCACAGGCAGAAAAAGTACAGCTGCGGCCAGCCTTCCGCATCAAGTGCAGTCGGGGACAGCAAGTAGTTTCTATGCTGTGCAGAGGGCAGGAATAACCTTCTGCGTCAAGCGCAGTCGTCGACGAGCGCAAAATTACAGACAGGAATAGTGCAGCAACATCCAGCAATAGAGGAGGCCCTCGCAACGAACAGATGGACATCCGACGCACCTCAAAGTAGTCGTGCAGAGTCACGACGTTCGGGTTCCCGCTCGATATGCGCTTGAGCACCGCGATTTCGTTTCGCACCTGTGCGAGAAGCTGTGAGCGCGCCTAAGTCTCCCGCGTCCGCCATGCGCACCATATGCTCTCTCCCCTCCATGAGCTTCTTGTTGATGACCTTGCAAGCATAGTACTTGCCAGTCTTGATGTGTATGGCCTCCTTTACAATGGCATACGTCCCGCTTCCGAGCGTCTTGCCTGTGCGATACTGGGCGCTTGTTAACGGGGATCCATGCCCTAATCGGATGGCGGATACGCACCTGGCACGGCACCGTTGCGTTGGGCATCGGTGGCTTGGGGGAGGGTGGACGCTGCTGGAGGGGTAGATGAATGGGAGGAGCACAGGTAGAAACCTGTTCAACACAGCCACAGGTCTACTTATAACACTCACATCGGACAGATTCCCTTCCGACTCGCCTTCTGATCCAACGTCCTTCTGTTTCTTCGGTGGCGGCAAAGACGGTGGAGCATCTGCGCGCTGCGCGCGCCCGGCAGCCTCTTCTTTCGAGTGTGCGCGCTTGGACCGGCTCTGTACTGACCCCATGCACGCCGAAGGATTTGCAGAGGCGCAGACTGGAGGACTGTTGCGCAGTCCTGCTCGTCCGCGTCCGTCTTATAAGGCCTAAGGGGGACCCGGCACAGCTTGGCCTCGGCGCGAGCGAATGATCCGTTTGGAGCCTCACCCAAGACATCTATAATAAGCGGCTTCAAGGGGTTCTGCAACGTTTAAAACACGATTTGGGCTCGTTCTCCTGGCTTCTATCTTGCTTCTGTGCTCATTCTGCCTGCTCAATATGTCGCACATATGATTCTGAGCAGCTCCGTCGGCGAGTGACTCACTGGTAACTGTCGGCCCGCCTGCCACTGATCGCAGTTGGATCGCAGTCGCATCGCCTCCGAGTTCAAATATGTGGTTGGATGCAGTGCGTATTGCACATGTCAGTGGGTCGGTGAGATTTTCTGCTGATCTTTTCACACTCTTATTAACTTCCACGACTTCCTGAACGTGTTTTGCGATCTTACAATGAACCTGGAATTTCTTGAAGGTGCATAGTATGATTCAATTGTTCATGCCATACATAAAACTTGCATAAAACAGCCTCCAAATCCCCAAAATTGGTAAGAATTCTTTCGAGTTCTTCAAACAACTTTGTTTGAGAAAACTCACCTCAACTCTCAACGATCGTTTCACGTACGTACTTTTCAGTCGAAAAATGTTGAATAACTCAAAACAGCTCCTAGAAAATCAGATCCTTCAACCAGTGCAACCACGTGCACTGGCAGCGCAGCAGTGTTGATCGTCAGCTCATCCGAAAACTTGCAATTTGAATCACCGTGACGGGGACCCACAGGCCACTACAGCCCAGACCCGAACCCTTGATGTCGGCTTTAAACCTACATCTTCCGCCGCTCACAGTATCCTGTCCATGTTCATAGTTGAAAAGGGGCAGCTTGCATGGGAGTTAGTGACAACAATCAGGCGGTGTGCAATGCCTTGTATGAAGCCGCTGTCGAGAACTATCGGTGGCCGATAGATCTTACGTTGCATCTCGAAGCATGGTTGAACCAACCAACTTGAAGTCTTCCGCGTTCGCATTCCAACAGGTTGACCAGTCACAGATAATTCAGGTTCCGCAAGTCTCATTCATCAACCGCAACCAGATTATGATGTGCGTCCCGAATGTCCAGACCCATTTTTTATGTTGACGATTGAACGCTGGATGATGTCCTAAGTGCAGTTGAATCTTCAGAACGTCCAGAGCAGCTCTCGAGTTGAAAACGTGCAAGCTGTGGTTGTCGATCTGTCCCCGACACGTATGTAGCGCCAATCCGCTATTCTAGTGTGTATTTGATGCTGTTGCCGGAGGATGAGACGACAATTAATTGCTTGTGGCCAGTCCAACGCCTTCCAAGGCCAGGCTGGCCACTCTTACCGATAGGGCAAAGAATGATAGCCCCTAGACTTTAGCTGATCTTCTCTCGGTAGTACTTACATTTGGACAGTACGACCCCGATTACTCCGTCGCGCAACTTCACGAGCTCAAGTTTTCTCGTCAAACTTTCGTGATGTTCCAAAAGTGGATTATCCAAGAAATTCTAAATACAGATATCTATCTACAAGGTGAGAATACACATTATACGGATAGATGTAGCGTAGCTTTGGTCGAATCGTGGGTCAGTCGCCACCGCCCTCCAACGCTTTCACAATCCCAAACGCGGCCGCGGCCGCGATACCTCCAACGAGCAGCGTGCTCACCGCGCCCCAAACATAACCACCTGTGCCCACACCCGCGCCCGTGACCCGCGCCTTGACCGCACCAAAGACAAGCAGCACCACCCCCGTGATGATTGCGCTCCACAGCAGCGCGACGTGCGCTCGTGGGATGAAGAAGTACGGGAGCAACGGGATGATGCCGCCGATGAGATACCCAGCGCCGATGGTAAAAGCGGAGATATAGAGGCGGCTTGTCGGCACTTCTTCGAGGCCCGCACCAAACTTGAGCAGGAACGGTGTGAGGCCGACCTCCTTGCTCCACCGTAGCGACTCGTTTGACTCGAGGTCATGCGCGGCGACGGGGTGCGAGGACGACGAGGGGATCTCGGCTTCGCGGAGACAGCGGGCGACGGCGCGGCAGGTGCGCTCATCCACGCCGATGGGGGCGAGGACCTCGGCAACCTCGCGCTCCATCTCGCCGTCGCAACTGCGCACGACGCGCGCGGCAGTGGTGTCGCGCAGGAAACGGTAGTGGTCGCGCTCGGCCTGCGAGGCCAGGAATCCGCCGATGCCCATACTGATTGCGCCCGCTATCAACTCGGCCACGCCACCGAGAACGACGAGGCGCGATTCGCCCAGGGAAGATAAGCCGGCAGTCAGAGCGAACGGCACCGTCAGACCGTCCGAGAGTCCGATAACACTGTAGTAAAGTTGTCAGAATCTTGTACTTTTTCGCGAGTGGCAAAGACATACACATCACGGACAATATCAGGGTCGATGAGGGTACGCTCTTCACCTTTCAGGTCTTTGCAGCAGACACCATCGGGTCGGACGTGACGGGAGCAGCGGGCAGAAGGCGGAATTGGCTGAGAGCTGGGTGCTGCAGCATCGAGGGCCCAGACTGGTGGTTTTGTCGAGTCTCCTGAAGCCTGAGGACGTGTGAGGGGCACAGAGGGTGCAGAAGTCGGAGCGGGAGGGGTGGACATGGTGGCGGGAAGAAAGAAACGTTTTGCAGTGGCTTCCATATTGAGATGTTTAGGTTGCCGCGCGCAACTGACTGAGCCAATGGTGTGCGGCCAATTGGGTGCAGCATGTGATGTGGACCAATACAACACCGCGCATTTTAAACCTTGCCGAAGGACCTGAGTGGAGGATATCCTATTGGATACTCGGCAATGGCTGAATGCTTGTCAATGGCCAGCCTGAGAGGAAATATTCAAGGGCTTCAGTGCGGTGTATGACAGTGTGCAGCTGAGTGTGCTTCGAATAGATTCCAGTGGTTCATTTTGCGCTGAGAACGGTTGAAATAAAGCTCAGAGATCGAACCCAAGTTACTATGTACCCATGAACTGTTTAGAGCTGAATATTGAATATTGAATACTCAGGGTCGTTGGTCACAGGGCCTTAATAATACTTGGGAGAAGCTGAAACACTCAGTGGTCTATGCACAGTCATGATGCAAGTCCAAAATCTTAAATTATAGGCAGACACACGGCAAAATCCGAGGTTCCGGGACACCGAAAATGTAATCTGAAAGTATTAGTCTCTGGTTCAAAATAATTGTGTAGAAAAGTGTACCTAAAACTACAAGTTTTGGGTTCCATTTCATCCCATCTGATGCTGAAACAGAAAGTAGTAGTTTTGGCTTCCGTTTTGGAAGCCCAGAAACAATAAGTTTAGGGTGCTGGCCAAAACAGAATCAAAAACAATAGGTTTAGGGTGGTCCAAAACCAAATCTAGACCGCTCTAGACCGCTCTAGATTAGGTTTCCGGGGGTACAAGATTAGTAATTTCCGGTGCCGCCGGAAAGTGTATCCGAAACCTATTGTTTTAGAGGCTCCAGAAGCCGATGCCAAAACTACTAATTTTGGGTTCAATATCAGAAGGGGACAAAATGCAAACCAAAACTTATAGTATTTGATTGGCTTTCTAGTATACCATTTGTGAAACCAGAACTTGAGCTTTTAGATACATTTTTAGCCACCTCGGAACTTCGGGATTTGCCGTGTGAGATGGATGACCAGGCCAACAAATTTCAAGCAGCAGCATCTTTGAGCAAGTACATCGATAGATGAGAACAAGCCTGTAAGGGTTGATGTCAAGGTAATTTAATTGTGGGCCCTTGTCGCCCGAGGGGAATCCTGCGGGAAAGGGGAGAAAAATGACTCGACTCGGGCTCGAACCGAGGACCGCCTGTGTGACATCACGTACTGAGCAAATGAATGTTAGACAGAAGTGATAAACCAACTACACCATCGAGCCGCTGGTGTCTTAGAAACCCGGATAAAAATGATAACATAATCAAGAGAGACACGCTACTGCAAGTTGTGAAGAAGAACAATCATGAACATCTCTGTTATAACTTATAAAGTCAGTGATATACGTAGACCCCGTCGCGCTTCGTCACCATTCGCTAAACCGATTCCCCCTCTATTGGGGCACTTCCTTTGGTGTTCGGGGGACTTACGTCGAAGTGGATGGTTGAAAATACTCCAGACTTTCGGTTTGAACCTGGCGTACCGAGCTCGTTGGAACTAAGCGTGGATTCGAAGGATCGGTGGAGATGCACGATGATAACAGTCAGGGTCGGGAGGATAGCCTGAGAGTAAATCAATGTTCCGACTATCGGAAATCAGAGCGAAACAACAATACCGCAATATAGATCTCAACTTTCTGCATTACAGCAGTTGCGAGGTCGAAGGGGGTAAGGGCAATCTTGTCTATCTGCAACAAGATGCAGACTACAAGCTGGGTACGTGATTGTTAGATACTTGCGATGTCCGGTCGGGTATGAGCAAGCCGACCTGAATGACAGCCCAGATCGCGCCCGTCTCGACAAGCAGGAGCAGAATCCGAGTGACCTCACTCTTCCACTGCGCAAACGACATTTGTGTCATCAATCTCCGATGTTTCCTACCAATCAGACCGCAAGAATCAGGCCTATCCGATTCTCCAAAATTGAAGATAAAATGGGCATACGTACCAACCTTTGAGAGCCATGACACCTGTGCCGAGAAGATTTGTGGCGAGCTAGATGAAGAGACTGATAGTGACGAGTTTCTGGTCGATGGTGGGGTTTTTGCTCCGCTGCTCGGTGTCGCGACTCGTGAGAGCAAATGCATACGCCCAGATGACTGGGACAAGGGTGTTAAACCAAAAGGGTCATAGGAAACGACGAACTGAAAGACAGACCGACATCAGCGAAAGCGACAGTCCACAGCGCGATTTGCCCTAAACGACGCTCTGAGTACATCACAGAGGCGCGCCATATGACTATCGAATCCGATATCATGAACTGTCGGGAAGTCAGCCAGACATACCAGGATACCATCGAGACGCACATTGAGTGTGGGCCATTTCTCGAGGACATACGCTGGCTCAAATTTCTGAAGCCACAGAGCGCGTCGATCAGCGAGCGGGATTTCGGTCCACATTAGGTAACCACGGATCTGCTCGAGATTAAGGACCATGTCGCCTACGAATTGCGCTGTGGTGGAGACAAATAGGAGGATCATAGCGGCAAACAGGACTTTGGCAGCGCGCGAGGTAGCTGAACGGTGTCTGCGCGGGGCATAAGGAAAAGCGTCGGTGGATAGGAGGAAGCGTACATAGTAAACCATAAGTAGACACAGAAGAACACGAAATAAATCCCTGCGCGAATCGTGTCAGAGAGACGTGCTGGTCCAGTGAGCATGGGCAATGCATACCATAGAAGATGAAGCCGACGCTGTGAGGTACGTTGTCGCGATACATGAGCTGGCCAAAGGAGAGGATGATCTCGTCTGTCGTAGGGGTAGACATATTGGTGTTGCTCGCGAGAGATCTGAATGGCGCAGAGCGCGGAAGAGGGTATTTAAGTATGGCTGCTGAAGCACGGATCCTTTCATTGAGCTGTGAGACCATGCCGCTACCCCAGTTTCTTTGTTCAATCAATCGCGTATAGGCGGCTAGAGGAACACCTAATCCCCTAATATTGATAGAACACGACATGTGTCCGAAGTCTTGACAGTTCTGCAATGTCCAGAAGATCAAGTTGACTCGAGTAACCAGACGGTATATCTTTGGGCCAACAAAGCCTTGGGCTTTGAGTGTCGCACCAGATTAAGAACCGCAGTCCGAAGCAGAGTTCGTTATCAATGCCGCTAATATTCACCATATTGTCCAGGAGTGAATCGCGGGAGTATATGTATCCGCCGACTTTCCTCCAGAGATTGCAGCGTTCTGGCCAGGATGGAAGGATCAATTGGGCGTTTTAGACTCTAAGATGAGCTATACTCACGAAGTGCTGGCCTTATCCATGTGGGATTTATATGTAAAACTATACTTGCCTCCAATTATATCCAGTACGCAAGTCAAGCTTGGGCTTCTGCTGTACGATCGATAAGCATCAAGAGCATCGCACTGCGTAATGACAGTGTTGGTTATCAAGACGCTTTTCGTTTCATCTGCTTTGTTGCATGGTGACAGAGAGACTGCGAGATGTCGGGTTCCTTGAATACTAATATGAACGCCACGTTAAAAGAGTCTCATGTCAGAGGCCTTGTAGCATATCCAGGTCAGTGTTGCCAATAGATGGATGATAAGGACTAACTTATATGATTGAAATCCTTGATTGCATAAGAATTTCCGTCTTTCCTGGAGTTTCGGAGCCGCGACATTTTTGGCATAGGACAGACTGGACAGAGAAGCACCAGAGCAGGGTACGGGCGCGGCACTTGAGGAGTGTGTACAGACCTGACCATAGCGTGTAAGGGGGGATGCAGCCTAGACCGGGTCAGTTCTGAGATCGCCTGGCCCTTATCCTGGGACCGTCGCAACTTGGGAACGGACACGACAGGTGACGTGGGAGCGCTCGGATGTGACGTTGACAAAGGGCTGGATGGACAGACGGATAGTTGATCCTAAATAGGAAAGCGGGAAAAGATCCCCGGTCTGTAACAACCCACAACACACTGTCCATCCGGTACTCAAGATTAATTTAGCGAAAATCCTCGTACAATACAAGCAAGGGTGAGGAAGGGAGGAGCGAGTTACACGGACTAATTCTGCAGACGAGTGAGTAGAAGCAGGAGCACTTGTAGACGGAGTGGGATATGTACCTCAGGTATCCTGATGATTGTGATCTCCTGCGGGGGAAAAGAAGAAAAAAGTCAGCGAGCGTTCGTCCGGAGGTAGTAGCGGGAGGGGTGGGATACGGATTGATATAGTAGCAAGATGGTACGAGTCTCGAATGGAGTGGGGAATGAGGAGCGAGGGAAGCAGTGCTGCAAATCCTGGCATCCATGACTCGGTAGTAAGGGGAAGAAGATCGAAAGGTAGAGAGCAAGGCATTAGCAATGAGGTGGGCCTTGACCAAGTTTACAGTAGTGAAAGAGGGCGTGCGCAGGGATAAGAAGGAGCGGTCTGGAAGCGTGGGCCACAACGATTGATATGAAGTCCGAAGCATGCTGCATCAAGCACAGTCGCAGTTCCTGCCATGAGCTGGGCGAGGGCCGTAGAAAAGGAGTAGGGTGAAGGGTGAAGGCTGGCTAGCACTTGGCTGGAGGAATATTGCCGTCGTCCACGAGAACAACGGGGAGAAGAAGCAGGCGGGACGACGAAAGAAGAGCAGGAACGGATGGAATCGGGAACGCAAAAGGGAGCATGGGATGGATGCACAACGCGCGATATAAGATGAGGGAAGGCAGGTGTGCAACGGCGAGAAAGGAAAGAGGGGGGAGGGCCAAAGGCAAGGGAGCGCGCTTACCTGCTGCTTGAAGTATCGCCGGTTCTCCTCGTCGATGAGCACGAGGTTGAGGTGATACCGCGTGCTGAACTTCTTGTTAATGTCGCGGAACGTTGGTGTGAGGTCGAAGCCGCCGAGGAAGAGCCGGATCGGGATTGTCTCGCCTGTGGGGAGCTAGTCAGTTCTGGGTCCGAGGAGGAGGCTACCAGTCCGAAGGAGAGGAAGTATGCAGGGAGGAAACAAGGATGTACGAGGGAAACGATGGTATAGGTAAGAAAGGGGGAAACGCACCGCGCACGGGCGCCCCGTCCATAATCTCGAACTTTGTGATCGTCTCGCTCTCAATGTACTGATTCGGGGGCGAGCCTGTCGTCTCCCGCCGGATGATAGAGAGCTCCATGTGCTTTATCTTGATCCGCACCAGTAGGAAGTAGATTTTGCCAACAATCACGTCCTTGAGATGGTACCTGCGCCGCGTTAGCGAGGACAGAGAGCGGGCAGCGGCAGTGGAGGAGCGTACTTGGATTTGTTGTACTCAAACTCGATGTGCAGGCAGTCCTCGATGCCGACCTCCATCTTGATAGTCGCATTCGTGTCGGCAGGTAGTCGGAAGGAGTGCACCCAGATGTCGCGTTCCTTCGCCACGTCGGCCATCCGCCGTGATATCGACACACGGATGAAGTATCTGCCTGCGACTGAGCCTGGGCCGCTGAGGGGAGGAGGGGGATATACGCACCGCAGCTTCACGTTGATGCCCTGGTAGCTTTCAAACTGCTTCTCGACGTTCTTGAAGTTGAAGTCGTACGTCTGCGCTTGCCGCATCTCGCCCGGCGCTGCCAGCTCCTGCGATAATGAGAGAAATTCATGGTGGTGTCCGCGGTCGTAGAACAGTTCTGCGGAGGCCAGAGTGGGTCAGAAGCCGTGCGCAAACGTGAAGAAGAGGAGAATAGTGAGGGCAGGGATGCGCCCAAAGCGCGCATTCGTGTCGCTCGTCTGTCGAGGCGTATGCGACCGAAACACAGTCAGACGCACCTATGCTCCCCACAAATTCGACCTTAATCCCATCATGCTGCAACTTCTTTCCATCCCGCACCCGTATCGCCACCTATGCTGTATAAGCGTGGGATAAGCATTCCAGCGTTGCAAACACACACCGTCCCCGCCACGGAGTCCCCGTCATAGTACACAGGACACGATACCGTCTTCTCCTTGTCGCTCTTCATTTCGACCTGCTTCCGACCCTCCTCGTTCTCGAGCTTAATGTCCACGTCGATGGGCGACGCGAAGAAGTACGCTGCCATTGCGTGGCGTGTTCCTGGGTCTCGGCAGTCTCAAGCAAGCAAAGTTGAGCCAGGCGACCAGACGCTATCGTCCGTTGGTCGCTGAGGAAGTTGAAAAACAAGGATCCTTGACGCCGCCGCCCAAGTAGAATCGTGTCAAGTCAGTCGCGCGCAGCGAGCAGAAGAGGTGCGTCACGTGCGTCAAATTTATAACAGGACGCCCCAAAAACCCAGCTAAATAAGTACACAACAAATTG